TTTATGAGGTCGCCAGAGCTGGAATCCTGATCCCCATTTCACAGATGGAAAAGTGAAGCCAGGGGAGAAGTATCTTGTCCAAAGTTCCAGAGAAAGCAAATACAAGTCAGAGCTGGGAGAAGAACGCATGAATGACATCTGTCTACCACCTCCTGCTGCGTGAGTCTCCCAGCTGGACCACCCAGCTCTAGGGACCCTCAGGGCTCAGTTCTGGAGAACCCCCTAACTCCCAAATCACTAGACTCCTTGGCTGGTGTCGAGGGGGCTTCGCCAGAACTCATTTCCCGCTGGGCCCGGGCTCCATCTGCCCGAGGCACTCCAGGAGTTTCTCTGGGCTCAGAAAGGGTGCTGGCTCCCCAGGAACTTGTCTAGAAATGTCAAGCTCTGTCCCCTCCCGGGATAGATAATTCTTCTCCCGGGTAAGCCAGAAGCAGAAGTTCGAACATTTCCCAAGGACGACTCAAAAATAAATGATTTCAGACTTAACAGAAGCTGCTGAACAAATTCCACTCTTTGAGTTTCTTCGGGTATTTTAGAAACTGATTTATACATACAATATCTCTCTCAAAATGAGACAATCAACACAGGATAAAATTATTGAGTTATGAAAATCGGGGTCAGATGGAGGTGCAGCACTTTAAATTAAACCGGCAAAATATATCTTTCATACTAAATTGACTCTTTTTGTCTTGGAAATGAACGTTTAATCAGTTAAGACGATGAAGTCGAGGGAGAAGCCTTAAGCATATTTAATTTGGTAAAAGGGGCCTGATTCCCGCACCGTTCGCAATCCTGCCAGCGGGCACACCTTTTAAGCAAGGGCTGGCTCCCACGCACACCTGCAAGGCTGAGCAGGCCGGGCAGGGGACCAGAAGGAACTGGTGGCCTCTGGGATCAGAGCCAAGGGGGCTTGGCATTTATGGGATGGCTGTCGAATACCTCGGCCTCGCCCACCTCCCCAAGGTTGACATCCGCGATGCATCTCCATCTGTGCAGACAGCAATGAAGCACCTGGACCATCAGGGCATCCTCTGTGCCACTTCCGTGGCCCTGCAGCCCGGCCGCACCATCTCTCAGCCACCTGGCAAAGCTAAGAGGTGGATGGAAGGGGACAGAGTTGGGTTTAAATTCTGGTTTTGCTGCTTAAGTGCTGTATGACATTAATTCATTCGCAAAGTACTTGTAGACTCTACCCTGTGTCAGGCCATCACTTCCTGTAGGAAGTGAGAACCCCACATCTCAGTCGGGGCCTCTTCCAGGCGCACGCATTTACTACGTTTTTAGAAACGGGCTCTTCACCTTCTCTCCATCTGCACCAGGAGTCCGCCAGGGCATCGTGCAGATCCTAAGCCCAGAACAATGCCTGGTACCTCGTAGGTGCTCAATAAAGGCACAGCTGCAGATCACTGTGGTAGGTGAAAAATGCCCCCAAAGACATCAGGTCTTAATTCTTGGAGCTTGTAGAGGGTGCCGTATTTGGAAAAGGAGTCTTGCAGATGTGGTTAAGGTAAGGATCTTGAGATGGGGAGATTACCCTGGAATATCCCCAAATGCCCTAAATGCTGTCACAAGTGTCCTCATAAGAGGGGCAGAGGGAGCTTTCACTGACACAAGAGAAGGCAATATGAAGACAGAGGAAGAGGTCAGAGCCAAGGACGGCCAGAAACCCCAGAAGCTAGAAGAAGTCCTCTTGGCACCCTGATTTTGGCCCGAGGATACAGATTTTGGACTTCTAGAGCTGTGAGAAAATAAATATCTGGGTTTTTTTATTTCAAAGTATTACAGGGGTATAAATGTTTTCAGTTGCATGGATCACTTTTGTAATACTTGAGTCGGGGTTACAAGTGTGCCCATCATCCAGATAGTATTCACTGCACCCATCTAGTAGGTTTTCACCCATCCCCTCCTTCCCCTCCTCCCTGCTTGGTTTCCATTGCGATTTACTTCCCTCTGTGCACATGTGTGCTCATCAGTTAGTTCCAAAAATGTCTGTTGTTTTAAGCCACAAAGTTTGCGGTATTTGTTACAGCAGCCACAGGAAACTGATATGCTCACCTACCTACCTGGAGTCTCTGTCCCCTCATGGCAGTAATACTTCCCTCCCTCGGTCAGGTTCTTAGGATCGACACGTGAGTAAATGTTTGCAAAGCCCTCTGCACGGTGCTGGACACCCAGCAGATCCGAGCGTGAATTGCCGCATCGCCCGCATCTGTGAGTGCAGGCCACGCACACGCAGACCCACGCCCTTCACCCTGCACTTCAGACGAATTTAGAAACTTTGTCTTTAAGGGACCCTTGTCTCCCTGCACCAGAGAGTCCCAGTGTATGTACACCCCCTTATCTGGTTTTCCCAGTTGGTCTGGGCGCTCTCCCCTGGGTAATGGGGTTTGGCTTATCTATCATGACATAAAGAGGGAATATAAAATTCAGTGAACCCTTGCAAAGTCTGACTAATGGAAGAATTAAGGCTATCTGAATTTGTGAAGCATCTTGAACATGAGCTAGTTTTAAAGAAATCTGGAAAACGACTGCAAAGTGCCTATTTGGATGGAGCCCAACCAAAGCATTTCCTAGGCAGGGTGACTGGGGGGTCATCTTTGATAAACAGATAGCACGCGTCGTAGTTATTAATGTCAGAGCTATTGTAACCAGGTGGCCCTGCAAGTGTACCTGTGGGTATCTGCAGTCTGCTCTTTTAGGTAAATGAGACTTAAGGGAAAATGCTGCCATTTGGTGACAGTGGGAATTCATTTTTATTACTAATAACAATAGCAAATATTCCCTGATTGTTTACTCTCTGCCAGACATTTGCTAAGACTTTACATACATTATCTCAGATACACTTCACCACAGTCTTGAGGTGCGTCCTATTATCATTCCAAGACAAGGAAACCAAAGCCCCGGACGTGGAGCCAGGATCTAGTTCGGGTCGGTGGAACTGCAGAGTCACACACTAACCACTACCCTGCACCGTCTCCATCAACCCCAGCACCAAAGGCCAGTGGCCCAGAACTGTGGCCATGCTCACCCTGCACCACGGCTCTCGTAGCATGTGACGAAGGTGCCCACCCAAACTGGGACAGTCTGGAGTAGCGAGGTTTTTGTTAGGAAGTTTTCTGGGCAGCTAAGCTATAAGCGTTCTAACAAAGTGACACTGAAGCCACACGGCTGTGGAGTCTGAGTCACTAGGTCCCTCTGAGAGACGAGCCAGCTGAGGACCTGCACTGCTGATGGGCCCGAAAGGAAAAGATCCAGGAGCAATGGAGCATCGGTTTCCATTGAGTGAGAACCGAACACTATAACAGTTTGTTTCCTCCTCCCTCCCTTCTTTCTCTCCTTTTATTTCTCACCTAGCTTCAAGAACAAACAGAAAACGGGATGTGCCTTACAAAAATGCACAGAGTACACCAGATTTTTTAAGCAAGGAAATTTGGTGGTAATAAAGGAAGGGCGAACAATAAATAAAATACAGTTGAGATTGTTTGAATATAAAATGCATGCCCTAAGGTCCCAGGTGTCTGTTAGAATTGGGCCACAAATGTGACTGTGGCTTCTAACCAGTCATCGCAGAGGTGAACACAATCCACCCAACATCATGTGATTCTGATAGGAAAATCAATTAAGTGACCCCTCCTTCCCTGCTACAGGTGGGTTTGTGGCTCAAGCTGACAAAATACGAGACTGCTTCCTCCTAGACACAGGGGTTGGTTCTGTGATGCTCAGTCACGGTCCTCCCCGGAAGACCCAAACAGCTTCCTGCCAGAGATGTCAGGGAAGATGTTGGCTGCCAGCAGTCATCAGGCCTGCTGTGGAAATGGGGATGGGATGGGGTTGTGACACTGCTGGAGTTCCTGGATCAAACCATGCCTGAAACCCCATGTCCACTCCCTAGATATTTTAGTTTTTTTTGCTTGAGTTAGTTTGGTTCCTGTCACTTACAAATGAATGTAAGAGATGTGACTAGTGTATAATATCGACATTAACTGTGAAGGAAACAAAAAAACAAAAATAAATACAAATCACACTTGTTCAGGAGAAGCATTCTCCTCGTTCCGGAGAATTCTTTTAAGGAGATTTTTTTATTGCGTAACATAAAAATTGGTCTACTGATTTTCTATAGGTCTTGATGGTTCAAATCAACCATTCATGCTTAAAAAAATACATCTCCTTAGCAGGGGATTCCCAACCCTTATGATGCAGGCTCTGATGAGCTCTTTCACCTCCTCTCTGTCCCCTTGGCTCCAGCTTCTTCCTCTCCAGCCCAACAAAAAGGAAAAACCGATGCCAATGCCAAGCTTGGCATGAGCACCCTGCCTCCTCCTTTGCACGTTCTATTCCCCCAGCCTGGAAGGTCCTTTCTTGCCTTTGTCTGCCTGCTAAATTTTTACCTACCCCACAAACTTTAACTCAGTAATTACCCTCTTCCCTGGCAGCTTAAGCAAGATACAATTTTTTTAAAAAATGATATGACTCCATTTATATGAATCATCCAGAAGAGGCAAATATATAAAGACAGAAAGTAGATTAGTGGTTGTCTAGGGCTGGGGACTTCAGGAGGCAGGTTGGGAGTGATGGCAAGGGTACAGTGTTTCTTTTTGGGGTGATAAAATATTCTAAAATTGATTGTGCTGATGATTACATAACTGTAAATATACTAAAAGCCATTCAATTGTATATTTTAAATGGGCGAATTGTATGGCATGGTGAATTCTATCTCACTGAAGCCATTAAAAAATAAAAACGAGAGTATACTATTAACGAATAATAAAAACCAGTACCAAGATATTATGAACAGAGCTCCCTAAGTGAGCAGCGAGCTGACATTAGATTTCCCTCCAGGCCCACCCCCATATTCTGCAGACTCCCACGCAAGCAACCAAGGGAAGCCAGACCCTGCACGTGAGCGGAGGGTCCTCATCAAGGCATCGGCATTCTGCTTCCCTCTCAACCCCCTTCCCTGCCATAACCAGCAGGAACCATGGCAGGTGACAGGGACTCACCGTGGGCAGCTGGCCCGACAGCAGGTGGCTGTCCTGTGCCAGCATGTTGGACACCATGATGGCAGGGAGGTCCATGGCCTGGTAGGAGTAGGCAGGGAGCAGCCCGTTGGGGGTGAGGCCGTGGCACAGCGAGTGGTAGCTGGCTTCGTGGTCCCCCAGGTGCAGGAGGGACGGCTCGGGGAGGTTGGGAGGTGTTATCGGGGGAATCTCATAGTCCTCGTTGCTCTCGCTCTGGCCGTTATAGGTCTAAAACATCAAAAGGGCATGTTGTTGGGGGTCAGTGTCTCACAACTGCAGAACATACTCATCAGCACCAATAACAGCAACGACAGTAACGATAACAACCCCTTGGCGAAGGAGAAAGGGGTGAGCCCTCTGCAAGACAGAGGATCAAGACTCCTGCTCTATCCCCCAATGGATGCTCCATCCCACTGGAGGCTCTCGGCACCAAGCCTGCCTCCCTGGAGAGCGGGGGCTGGCTCCCGTCCACCCGTCCCTCTCTGTTGTCCCACCAGATCTGGCCCCCACAGCCCACCTTGGATCCATCTTTCCACATCCGCCCATTTTACAGATGGCGACTTGGGTCGAAGGAGAAAAGCGGTCCCTCCAAGGTCAGTAGACGAGTTGGGAATGGAGCAGAATTACCCCGACTCCCCGCCTGGTGGTCTTTCCAGGGCGGCTGGATGATTTTCTCCCCTGTTGCCAACACTCAGCCCGACGGGGGCTTCTCTGAGTCTTCCTCACCTCGGTCAATGGTGCAAACATTCCCAAGGAGCACAAGCTAGAAACTAGGAGTCACCCCGACACCTGCCTTTCCAGTCCGTGCCTGTTTACTTCTCCCCCCCTCGCTGAACTGTCCAGGAACCTCTAGGACAATGCTGAACAGAAATGGTGAGAGTGGACACCCTTGTCTTTCTCCTTGTCTTTAAATCCAGTATTTTATCATAACGTACCATGTTCGCCGCAGGCGCTTTCGGCCATCCTTTAGCAGGTTAAGGGAATTCCTCGCTTGTCAAGGTGGGTGTTTTTTAAAATTGTGCCTGGCTTTTTAATTTTATCAAATTCTTTTTCCCTGCGTCTACCGAAAGGCTCAAATGACTTTTCTCCTTTAATTCAGTTAATACAGTAAGTAACTCATGTGGTTTTCTAATGTTAGAATAAACTTGCTCTCCTGGAATAAACCCTGCTTGCTCACGATGCTCATGATGTATTACTCTTTTTAAGGATTCTTGGGGTTTGTGTGCTGATCCTTTGTTTAGGATTTTTGCATCAGGTTCCCAAGTGGGGTTGGCCTACAATTTTCCTGTCTTGCACGGCCCTTGTCGGGTTTTAGTATCAACGCTACATTAGCGGGCGGGGTCATTCTTCCTTGTCTATACTCTGGAAGAGAGCAGAGCAGCAGAAGAGAGATGTGTGAACTGGAAGATGGATCTGAAGAATTATCCAGAATTCAGCAGAGAGAGTCAAAGAGAAGGTTACGAGCAGTAAGGGTGTCTAATGGACGTCTGTCCAATCAGCATTCCGGAGGGAGAAGCGTGGGAGAATGGATCAGAGGGATAACTGGAGAGATTATCATTGAGAATATTCCAGAACTGACGAAGGATACCAAAGGTTTTGATGACTGTGAGGTTAAATTTTAAAGCAATCAAAATATTTATGTAGAAAGGGAGGGAAAACCTAAACCACAATAGCATGTAAGAAAAGAGAATCTTCTAACATCTTTGCATTGTTTGATAAGTCAAGGATGTATGCTGAAACAGCCACGGTCACTGAGCCCAGCACAGTGCCTGGTTCCTGGTGGGCCAGCCCTAACCGACTGCTTGCTGGATGGTGGCAGTGGGGACGGGCGCGTGTGCCTAGAGCCACAGTGACAGCAGGGAGCACAAGGTCCCTAAACGCCTGCTCGGTGCCAAGGCCTTTCTCCTTGGGCACCGTGTGCGAACCTTACAATGATTCCATGGGGAAGAGCCCTAGACTGCCCTGCATAGCCAAGAAACAGAACTGAGAGGGTGAGCGACTGCCCCCTGCCCCCAGGGCCCAGCCCTTGGACCCAGAGCCCACGTCACCTCTCGCTCACTGGCTCCCTCTGCAGGGCTGTTGTGGGATCATCTCACAGATGAGCAAGCAGCGATTAAGGAG